GCAGTGAGAAGAACAAGGCTGTGCATGCTTTCCAACAACAGATCGAATTAGTAAACAGGCTAGGTGCTGAGTTGACTGAAGAGAAAAAGAAGTGTGAACGTCTGGGGAAAGAGTTCAGAAGCTCCCATGACATGTTGGAGTCCAAAAAGAAAGCACTCGATGCCGCTCACCGAGAAATCTCTTCTTGTAATAAGACTTGGAATGCTACGCTAACCAACAACAAAAAGAGGGAAGATAAATTGAAGCAGCAAATTTCCGAACTCGAAGAGCAGTTGAAGGCTAGCATTAAGAAGTATGAAGAAGAGGTGATGACCAGGTACAGTCTCCAGAATGCATTGAACAAGGCCATCGAAGGCAAGAAAGAAGTTGTGTCTCAGAAGCGGAAGCTAGAGGATCGCTTCGGAGAAGGGGCATGGGAGGAAACCGCTGGTGACGTGCGACGTGTTCTCAAGCGAAGAAATCAGCTTGTTGAGGGTCTGCTCACCCGACCAGGTCATCCAGAGACTAAGAAGTTACTAGAAGAGTACCAGGCTTATGAGTGTACTTGACCATTTCATGTATTGATGCTTTATTTGCATAGTGCTGACCATCACCAGGATTGTTGGTTGAGGTCATGCCTTCTTATTGTACACTCAGTGATATTGTATTCTTGGCTTAATGGATTTCTCTGCAATATATGAGGTGTTTTCTATGATTCGGCTCCGATCACCGTATTGCTAGCACTGTTACTGCACTGACACACTCGCACTAGAATCGGGGAATGATGTTCCCTAATGCACAGACACATATTGCATTGCATTCATGTTCATATTGCATTACAGGTGATTATTGCATGGTATCTCATTCCTTGCACTGTACCAGGTCTTTTCAGGATTGAAGATCAGCGCCCGCACCGATACTCCACTCGCACCAACTGCCGAAGAATCATGGATCAAATGCAGAACGAGATGTAAGACATGCGTGAGAAGCTGGCGCTCTTCATGCAAACAATGGAGACCATTGCGAAAGGTCAGGAGAGTTTGCAAGCTTTGGTGCAGCCTCTGTTGGTAAGAAATGCTGGGCATGGAAATGAGGATCATCAGTCTGTGTGAGTCGACACTATTCATGGGGATGATACTCCCACACCAGTGGCTCCACCTGTAGTCAACATACCTGCTGTTAATGTCAACAACGGCGCTGCTGCCGGGAATGGTAACGTTGGAATGGGGAGCGAGACTATCGTTAATAACGTTGGGCTCGGAGATGTCAACCTGGGGGATAATATGGGAGGCAATGGTTTCGGTAATACTGGATTTGGCTTCAATGACCAAGGGTTTGACCAGGATGGGAAATATGGTTTCAATGCTCAAGGCTTCGGGCAGGACTGATTTGGTATGGCTAATCAGGGTTACGGCGGATTCGGAAATGGAAATGGCGCTGGGTTAATGGCTTTTAAACCTGCTGGGGTCGCTCCGGGGTACGGCAACAGGGGGCAAGGCCCGGTCATGAATCAGATTAGAGCTGGCCGTAACAACGGATACGATGGGTATGGAGCTGGGAATGGTAATTGGCAAAAAGACCAGCAAGAGGATGCTTTCTCCGGTGGAGGTTTCGAAGGGCCTATGGATGACTCTCAGAGGATCAGGATGCTCGAGGAGCAGATGAGGGGGGTCGTGAATCAAAGTGCTGTCGGACTAGATATGTCAACAATGGGTATGGTGCCTGGCTTGAGGGTGCCAATCAAATTCAAAGCTCCCACGTTTGACAAATATAAGGGGGACACCTGTCCAAAAGTGCATGTGCGGTCATATTACAGAAGGATGTCGGCGTATTCTAACGATGAGAGGATGCTAATGCATTTCTTTCAAGATAGCTTGTCAGGCCCTTCCCTCGAGTGGTATATGGGATTGGAACCAACGCATATAAAGACATGGAAGCAGCTGGCTGAAGCATTTGTAGCTCACTATAAGTATAACAGCGACTTGGCACCCAATCGGGTCCAATTGTAGGGGTTGTCCCAGAAGAAGGGTGAGAGCTTCAAAGAGTATGCGCAAAGATGGCGCGACATGGCTGCTAGAGTCCATCCTCCTTTGGAGGACAAGGAAATGAATGACATGTTCATAGGAACATTCACTGGCGTGTTTTATGACAAGTTGTTTCACACTTCTTTGGGCAGTTTCTCAGACTTAATCCTGATGGGAGAGAAGATTGAGAGCAACATTAAACAGGGAAGATTCCAAGCTGAGGAATCCACTTCGACAGGCAGTAATAAAAGGGCTTTTGGTGGGCGCCGTCAGGGCGATGCAAGCGCAGTGTTTGGGGGCCGAGGCCGAGGCCGGGGCAGAGGTCGAAACTAGTACAGTCAGCCGCAGCAGGTGGCAAGCGTTACTATTCCGTTTCAGCAACAACCGTTTCAGCAACAACCATTTCAACAACAGCAACAGCAACCACAACAGGGGGCACAGCCTGCCCAGCGCAGATTCCAGGGGGGTAAACCAAGGAGGGTGTTTGAAAAGCCTCCTTCAACGTATGCAGATTTGCTACAGACGTTATTAGGGTTGAACTTGGTGGAGAAGAGAACTCTGGCGCCAATAACAGACACTCCTCCGTATGGTTATGATGCAAGCAGGCACTGTGAATTCCACTCTGGGGCTCCGGGCCACGATGTAGAGGGTTGCCATGCGTTCAAGCACGTCGTGCAGGATCTATTGGATAGTAAAGCTATCAATTTTGGAACAGCGGGTCCGAATATAGTGCAAAAGCTCATGCCCAACCATGGGACAAACGCCATTTTAACCGAGGAGGGTTTGAATTTGATTATGAATGTCGACGACTTAAAGACGTCGTTGTGCGAGATAAAGAGCAGATTATTGCAAGGTGGTGTGTATCCAGGTTGCGACGAGTATTGCTTAGAGTGTTGGACCCAAGCTGGGGGTTGTGATGACTTAAAGAAAGGTATTCAGGCTTTAATGGATGGAGGCACATTGCAATTTGACCGAGCAGCAATTGAAGAACCTGCAGGGGTATTGGCAGACAATCAAAGTGATGTAGCTACTGTGACGATTCCCCGAAAAACGATCACCATAACGGCACCGGCCAAGCGACCGCCGATCACCATCACCAAGGCAGGACCAATCCCTTACGATAGCACCAAGGCAGTCCCCTGGTCCTATGGTTTGGAAGTGTATTGTGATGGGATAAAAATTGATGTTAATAAGCAGCCAGCCGAGACTGTAGACAACGTTGTCGGTACCGGAGGCATGACAAGAAGTGGGAGGATCTTCATATCGCCTGAGGTAGAAGCTGAAAGACTGGCGAAGGGAAAGGGAAAGATGAATGAGACTGTCCCTGTGCAGGCAAGTGAAAAAGAAACAGCATCGAAGGATGTGGAAGAGTTCATGCGCTTGATTTGTAAAAGTGATTATAAGATTGTCGAGCATCTTCAACAGACGCCGTCAAATATATCTATACTGTCGTTGCTATTGTGTTCTGAAGCTCACAGAAATGCATTGTTGAAAGTCCTGGATACTTCCTTCGTACCCAAGATGTTTCCGTGAATCAGCTGGAGGGGGTGTTGGCACATGTGAATGCAGGCCATAGCTTGGGCTTTACAGACTTCGATTTGACCCCGAAGGGGAGAGAGCATAATATGGCGCTGCACGTCTCTGTCGAGTGTAGAGGATCAATCATGTCTCATGTACTAGTAGACACCGGATCATCCTTAAATGTGTTGCCCAAGAAAGCGATGATGAAACTAGATGTCAGAGGGATCCTGTGTATGCCCAGTGACTTGGTGGTTAGGGCATTTGATGGCACGCGAAGAACGGTCTTTGGATCTATAACATTACCTCTACAGGTGGGGCCGGAGGTTTTCGCAACTGAATTTTATATCATGGACATCCAGCCTGCATACAGCTGCCTTCTCGGACGACCCTGGATCCATGGGGCTGGGGCAGTCACGTCTACCTTGCATCAAAAGTTGAAATACATGGTGGGGGACAGCGTGGTCACTGTATGTGGAGAAGAAGATATACTGGTCAACCATCTGTCATCATTTAAGTATGTGGAGGTCGACGGCGAGATTCATGAAACACCCTGTCAGGCATTTGAAGGGTTGCGCATCAAAGACAAAGGGCCCGGGCCGAGTAAAGTGTCAGAAGTAGTCGTCTCGTCATACAAAGAAGCTCAAGCTCTAGTAGAGACTGGTGAGACAAAGGGCTGGGGCAAGGTGCTGGATATTCCTGTGAAGATGGACCGATTTGGGCTGGGATATCAACCGTCGTCATCAACACCTGCTGTGGGGGCACCCCGTTTCAGAGGACCAATAACCATCACTGCTAGTGGAGCATGTCACGAGACCATCAACGCTGCTTCAGAGTCTGACGAATGAGACAGTGATTGCGACATGGACGCCTGGATTCAGCCGAGCGTGCCAGGACAAGGGTTATGCAATTGGTCTATTCAGGAGATTGTTCCTGTGACTCTTAAACAGTAATGCTTTGTTTTTTTTATTGTTGAACAATCTGGTGTCTTGCCCGGGGCATCATGATTTGCTTAGGGTCGTGCTGTTATGAACATTGCGTGTTTAATCATCAAATAAAATGGACCATAGACATGGACCAATAAGTAAAGGCTCAAAGAGTTTCATTTAAAATTTTGATTAATTATTTATAAAAATTAATAATAAAATATTAATCAATATTTAATTAATTAATTAAAATAATATTAATAAATTAATTATCCACATCATCTTGCCACATCATTAAAAAAAATTAAAATAGATGGACCAAAACCCAAAAAAAATATAAAATAGGGAGCCCAAGCCCATAGTTGTAATGTATATAAATAAACATGACAGGTTGAATTAAGAAATTCCCGTTTCTCTTTTTCACCTTACGTTCAAACACAGAAACTCCCCCTTACCTCAAAAACCCTAATCGCTATTTTCGTGCTCTTAATCTGAATTTCGCAGGTCTTCGTAGCAATTTCATCATCACCCTCTTCCCCTTAATCCCTCACCAATGTCTTCTTCCAAAGATGCAGACCCAAGCTTGGGTTATCTCACCAGAAAGGATACAGAGGTGAAGCTACCTCGACCAACTAGGGTTAAGAACAAAACCCCCGCTCCCATCCAAATCACTGCCGAGCAAATTCTCCGCGAAGCTAGGGAGCGTCAAGAGGCCAAAATCCGTCCTCCCAAGCAGAAAATCACCGATCCCACCGAACTCGGCGAGTATCGTCTCCGTAAGCGAAAGGAGTTCGAAGATTTAATCCGGCGAGTTCGATGGAATGTGAGTGTTTGGATAAAATACGCACAGTGGGAAGAGTCGCAGAAAGACTTCAAACGTGCACGTTCTGTTTGGGAGAGAGCTTTGGAAGTTGATTACAAGAATCACTCGTTATGGTTGAAATATGCAGAGGTTGAAATGAAGAATAAGTTTATTAATCATGCTAGGAATGTTTGGGATCGTGCTGTTACGCTTTTGCCTCGAGTGGATCAGTTGTGGTATAAGTATATTCATATGGAGGAGGTGCTTGGGAATGTTGCTGGGGCGAGGCAGGTATTTGAGAGGTGGATGAAATGGATGCCGGATCAGCAAGGATGGTTGTCTTATATCAAATTTGAATTAAGATATAATGAAATTGAACGAGCTAGAGGAATTTTTGAGCGATTTGTTTTGTGTCACCCTAGGGTTGGTGCTTGGATACGATATGCCAAGTTTGAGATGAAAAATGGTGAGGTTCCTAGGTCGAGGAATGTATATGAAAGAGCGGTGGAGAAGCTTGCTGATGACGAGGAAGCCGAGCAACTTTTTGTGGCGTTTGCTGAGTTTAAAGAAAGGTGCAAGGAGGCCGAGCGTGCGAGGTGTATATATAAGTTTGCACTTGATCATATTCCGAAGGCAAGGGCTGAAGATTTGTATCGAAAATTTGTGGCATTTGAAAAGCAGTATGGTGTTAGGGAGGGAATTGAGGATGCTATTGTTGGGAAGAGGAGGTTTCAATATGAACATGAAGTGAGGAAAAATCCTTTGAATTATGATTCTTTGTTTGACTATATAAGATTGGAAGAGAGTGTGGGGAATAAGGGAAGAACTAGGGAGGTTTATGAGAGAGCTATAGCTAATGTTCCACCAATACTAGTAAGTGAACTGACCTGCCAAAGTTTGTCATGGAATAAAGCAAGGTCAATCAAGCGGTCACCTCTCTCAGAATAATAGTAGACATAGCCCTTTCCAGAATTTCCAGGATTTTCCAGTATGTCTTCTGCCTAAAAAAACATCCAACCACCAAAAGCAAGCAAAAAAATTATGAAAGTGATAAATGACTAATATATGCATCTAGAAATTTGTAGAGGGTGTTATATTTAAGGACAAGCATATCTTCTAATTAAAGTCTTATATATTGCATTCCTTTAAAAAAAAACTAAATAATAAATAAGTAAAGCATACATGTGTAGTGTAGTGATATAGCCCAAGTTAGGATTTTAATTAAAATATTGTGGCAGCAAGAAAATATTTCAAAATAATGTAAAATATCATTAAAAAATATTTTTATTTGATGATAAACTAAATTTTGTTGTTAGATATGTCAACACTGAAGTGACATCGGATTGATGTAACTTATTTTTGCATTGAACTTTGATTTTTCATATTTTTGACCCTTAAATTTAGAGATAAAATAGAGCGAATATAAAATAAGAAAAATGTTATTTCCTTTTGTTTGAGTAATGAGAAAAAAAACTAGAAGATGAGCAAAATACAAGTATGCCTCCAATTTATCTTCACGTTTTATTATTTTCTTCAATTATATACCCCTCCAACTGATTAACTCCCCCACCACCACCATTTGAACAAATAGCTTACGAGCATGATGGCTATAACCCATAACCAAAACAATCTAACAATGAAGTTTATAGATTGGTTATCAATTTAACCATGGATTTTCTATTAGTTAACACAAGCAGATATTTGCTCGTAATTTTATCAGCTCAGTTCTTCTTAACTTATAAAAAACAAATTAAAGTACAATATATGCATGTGTAAGAACTAAGAAGACCACAATTTCAAGGGAACCAGGAAACAATTATGACTGTCAATACCTTACTCTTACTGACATTTCTAAAATCAGCATTTCCAGAATTATCTTGCAATGAAAATGGATATAAGGCCTGATCTCCATCAATTCCAGTGGTACCTTTTCCAAAAAGGTTAGAAAGGATTGTGAGACAAGCATCTCTATGATTGCGGCTACCAACATCACCAGCATGTAGCTCAACTGCTAAAAGTTTTAATAGCCACGCTCTCTGAGAAAGGGAAAGTAAAGAAACAAAAACACCCATGTCAAACCGAACAACAATATATGTAGTTGATAATAGTTCGAAATTCAAAATAAAATCATTCATGAGTAAGAAAATACAATAAAATAATTCATGTGCCTTCGTGTCTCATAGCTTGTGCATTTAAGCTAGTTTCCTGATAGGCTAAGTCTTCTCTGTCAATTGATATAATGTTCAATATTGCCACTCTAAGTAATCTAATAAAAGTTGAATTACAACACTTGGAATTCATTGTAGACCTGTGTAATATCTACATTTCAAAAGCCCAAACAGTTTATGTTCAGTGGCAGAGCATGACTAAATTAATGGAAGTGAGCAACAGCGAATAAATCATTTGTGGGTGTGGTGTTTATGTTAGCTTAAGATTTCTCCTGCATCCACTACTACTAGTCAACCTAAGGCTAAATCCTCTCAACCCACTATCACACAAACAACCAAGTCTGCCAACATTCACCCTGTGAAAACTCGTGCCAAATCTTGCATTGTTCTACCTTGTGTCCGCCCTAGGCTCTTCCTAACACATATTGAATAAAAAATGGTAAGCAAGCTTTGCTTGACCCTAAGTGACATGTTGCAATGAAGGAAGATTTTGATGTTATTCAAAATAACCAAAGATGGCACCATCAACAAGTTTATTGGATGTTAGTGGGTTTATACAATCAAAGAAAACTCAGATGGCACCATCACCAAGTTTTAAAGCTTTCCTGGTTAACTTAAGTTCTACCTTGATGGCAAGACATCTTAACCTTCCTAAAATCAAAACTCAATTTGTAGCTTATATATAATAAAATGAGAAAGAGTGTAATAAAAGGTTTTAATATATAGAAGAGAAACTTAGGTTGAGAATCCTTTGGTGCAACATCCTTTGCAGCAGACTTCCCTTAATCTACGGTAACATCCTTTGTCTGAACAGCCACACACTTGGATTTCTCTATCACTGTCTTGGTTTTCTCTGCAATAGGAAGTTGTACATGTATCATTAATTTACTATACACAGAAATTAATGGTAATTGAACCAAGATCTATTGCAAAATGAAGCTGTTTTTGGGATATGTAAAGTGAAGCGAATAAAAAACAGAGCCCTGAAAAAGTAGCATGACGGTCAAAATGGAAGCTTACCACGTGCATTTCACCTTTCTCTCCAAGGCGTAGCGGGCATGGTTTTCATTTCCATATGTGCAAAACAATTCGATAATGTTGAATTCAGTATTGCAGAACCAATAAGTTTCAGTTCCGTCCAAAATCAAACCAATGACTAACATATACAATAATAACTAATAATAGAATGAGAACACAATACAATACACCCAACTTATAGTCTTGCAGCCATACCACATGAAAAGGGAAGTACCAAAAAGACCAAGATTTAGTATATAAATAACAGAGTATTCAAGCATACACAAATACATGTCCAAAATATTATAAAGAAAAGTGGTTTAGAACATAGATGCAAGGATGTACGAAACCAACATTCACCGACACACACATGTACATGTGTAGAGGATATTGGTGTTTAAGGCAGTTAAATATGAATAGTCTATCTATGAAGGTAGCATGTGATTGAGACATTATGACATCATTTGATCCATATATCAAATAACACCCAATGAGAATAAAAACATACTTTGTGGCATCTTCTTGCTGCTACAGGATGCTGCCTTTGATGTCGCTCCACACACATGAGTTACCAATATAACCTACGAATTTGAGCTCATTGTGCTGCCTAATTTGGACCTAAACACTACAAGTCATACAAATCAAGTGAAACTGTCTTTATTCCTCAACTACTCGCAGGAAAACTTTGATCAACAAAAGTAGCACATTTCTTGATGGAATCAACTTCACATTTTTCCTAATCTGCAGCTTCGCTATCTGGATAATCTGCGCCTAATATTCACTTCTAATTGAGAACCTCCATCTTCAGTTTCAGTTTTAACACTGACCTCAGAAGCGGCATCAATCCAACATTTGATTCCTCAGTAGGAGGTTATCTCTCAATATATGCTTCAGCTTCTGAAACTTGAGGTTCAGTTTCAGTATGTAGACCACATTCAGTCATGTGCTCAAAACTTGACCCTGCTACATCTAGAGGTGCGAAAGCAAGTGGTTCTAAAACTATTTCTATCGCTGCAGAACATCCATCTCTACTTCCGCTTGAGAACCTCCGTCTTTAGTTTCAGTTTCAACATTGACCTCAAAAGTGGCATCAATCCCAATATCTGATTCCTCAGTAGAAGGTTTCCTCTCAATATATGCTACAACTTCTGAAACTTGAGGTTTAGTTTCAATATGTAGACCACATTCACTCATGTGTTCATTAGATGTGTTGTTGTAACCAACTTTTCTGAATAAAAGGTTAAAAATTAGAATAACGTATAATTCTCTTACATCATCCTCAGTTCTCACTTTCTAATACTTTAGTCTTTCAATATTTAATATTAGGGATTAAATTGATAGTAAGTCTTTGAAAAATAGAAATCAAATTGATAATAAATTGTACTCACTATTAAGACTTAATTATGCATAAGACCACTGTCCACCAACAATGGTACTCCTATAGGATGAATCCAAGTAATACAATGACTAACTGCATATTCCAATTTCCAAAGCATAGAAAAACATACCAGAAACAACATGGGTCGTGGTTCCATCAATGTGAACTTTCTTGGCAGCCATAGGATGGAATCCAAGTAATACAATGACTAACTGCTGACTTCTCACTAAAAATGATAATATACTCATACAATGATACTGTTGATAACGACTAAATTAACTATTGTCAAGACTGTAACGGCAACGAGAAATTTACATAATATTATAGTAATAGACGAACAAAAGCTTTGAATGTACAAAACTACTACTACAAGCATACACAGTTCTAGGAACTTGCAAGGGTCTACAACACGCAAGGATCTTGGTTCCATCAATGTGAACTTTCTTTGTCTTGATTGATTTGTTTTCATACCTAATGTTGATTGCATATAAAAGAAATAGATAACTGTGTTGTGTGCAATCAATTTTGAATACTGCTATTTCATGTTATGCTGTTGTTGATTTAAGTCTGATAATAATGCCATCTTCATATGCAGGGTCTACGACACGCAAATTGATTTCACTTTTGATAGCAGCATCTGAAATTTCTTTGGCATTTGAAGTCTTAACCTTCACAGTGTCAAAGAAGCCAAGATCCTGAACTTCGAATCCAAGTTTCTTTAATCCAAGAGCAAACACACCGGAAAGACCATGAACCCTTTGTGCAATGGCTTTAAGGCCTTCAGGTCCATGATATACAACATACATATAGCAGCCATGTTTGCAAGCAGTGCCTAAACAAAACCAACCAGAATCAAATAAAATTGAAAAACCAAAATCGCAATACCAATCTATAAAAATATCACAACATATATTCTGACTCTAAAGTTGAAAAACCAAAACCGCAATACCAAATATTATTAATAATAACTTTGCGGCAATATATTATAAACTTCAACTACAATATAATCTAGTCTTTTGAGAAAAGATAATACAACTTCTAAAACTTACGTCTCAGAGGCAGAAGAACTCCTGTAACCCTGCCACAGAGAAATGGATGCAACAGGAATACACGTCAAATAACTATTCAGGGAAAAGATAGTAGGCTTGAAAAATGAAAAGGCATAACTGAAGTAGATTAAAACAAGTAAAAAGATATATAAATTTATCTTGCAGTTGGGAACTTACTTCGAGTTTGTTGATAAATACTGGATGTCCTTGCCTTTGTCCAGATAAGCTTCCCTGCATGAATTTCAATTATTGAACAATAGATCTGACTTACAAAACACTCTAGCACCACAGGTTCATTCTTTGACAAAACAAATGATTATTTCTTTACATTTTATG